GTATAACCTTGTATATATGTAACCTGTATATATATGTAACCTGTATATATGTAACCTGTATAACCTGTATATATGTAACTGTATAACCTTGCATAATAAAGTGTACATCATAATAAAAAAAAAGGGGGTGGTAGGAGAAGTGAACACTCTTTCGCATTCAGAGTTAAATGTCAAGTTTTTCCCTGAGTGCTCTGTGTTCCCTTCTCTGAGGCTGTGGGTCCCTATAATTACACCAGTGGTGGTACCCCCCTATATATATATATATATATATATATATATATATATATATATATATATATATATATATATATGTCGTACCTAGTAGCCAGAACTCACTTCTCAGCCTACTATTCAAGGCCCGATTTGCCTAATAAGCCAAGTTTTCCTGAATTAATATATTTATTATAATTTTTTTCTTATGAAATGATAAAGCTACCCTTTTCACTATGTATGAGGTCAATTTTTTTTTATTGGAGTTAAAATTAACGTAGATATATGACCGAACCTAACCAACCCTACCTAACCTAACCTAACCTATATATATAGGTAAGGTTAGGTTAGGTAGCCAAAAAAAGCTAGGTTAGGTTAGGTTAGGTAGGTTAGGTAGACGAAAAAACATTAATTCATGAAAACTTGGCTTATTAGGCAAATCGGGCCTTGCATAGTAGGCTGAGAAGTGAGTTCTGGCTACTAGGTACGACATATATATATATATATATATATATATATATATATATATATATATATATATATATATATATATATATATATATATATATATATATATAAACTATTGTTTACCATATATCTAAATCATTGTTTACCGTATATGTAAACAATTGTTTACCGTATATGTAAACCATTCCTTACCATATATATATAACTATTGTTTACCATATATATCTAAATCATTGTTTACCATATATGTAAACCATTGTTTACCATATATGTAAATCATTGTCTACCATATATGATAATTGTAATAATAATGTTTATTCAAATAAAAGTACAAATTGAGTTACAAACAGAATGTTAGATTTCTAGACGGAGCTGGTAAATGCTATACCTAAAGCCACTAATACGCCCAGCGTTTCTGTAAATCATTGTCTACTAGATTGCTAGACACGTTTTCCCACTCAGCATTTCCTCCTTCTGTTATTAATCCGGATCAAGTAGGAGAAAAAAGAGGGAGGGAGGTAATAATCAAGGGAAAGAGTCAAGCCGTTACGACTATACAGCACTTGGAAGGGAACAGGATAAGGATTTGGGATGAGACGGGGGGGGGGGGGCGAATGGTGCCCATTCACTGAGGCGGTTGGGGGATTGAACGCCGACCTGCATGAAATGAGACCGTCGCTCTATAGTCCAGCCCACACGGTTGGGCTAGGATTTTATTTTGATAATATATGCTTAAATGATCATGTTATCATAGTCATGAAAATATTTATGATAGCAATCTATTTGTGATTAGATATCTAGGACCGATATGTTGTGTTTTACCTCGAGTGTTGTGATGGTCTGGTGTGTTGTGGTGGTCTGGTGTGTTGTGATGGTCTGATGTGTTGTGGTGGTCTGGTGTGTTGTGGTGGTCTGGTGTGTTGTGATGGTCTGGTGTGTTGTGATGGTCTGGTGTGTTGTGGTGGTCTGGTGTGTTGTGTTGGTCTGGAGTGTTGTGTTGGTCTGGAGTGTTGTGGTGGTCTGGAGTGTTGTGTTGGTCTGGTGTGTTGTGGTGGTCTGGTGTGTTGTGGTGGTCTGGTGTGTTGTGGTGGTCTGGTGTGTTGTGGTGGTCTGGTGTGTTGTGGTGGTCTGGTGTGTTGTGGTGGTCTGGTGTGTTGTTGTGGTGGTCTGGTGTGTTGTGGTGGTCTGGTGTGTTGTGGTGGTCTCGAGTGTTGTGTTGGTCTGGTGTGTTGTGGTGGTCTGGTGTGTTGTGGTGGTCTGGTGTGTTGTGGTGGTCTGGTGTGTTGTGGTGGTCTGGTGTGTTGTGGTGGTCTGGTGTGTTGTGGTGGTCTGGTGTGTTGTGGTGGTCTCGAGTGTTGTGTTGGTCTGGTGTGTTGTGGTGGTCTGGTGTGTTGTGGTGGTCTGGTGTGTTGTGGTGGTCTGGTGTGTTGTGGTGGTCTGGTGTGTTGTGGTGGTCTGGTGTGTTGTGGTGGTCTGGTGTGTTGTTGTGGTGGTCTGGTGTGTTGTGGTGGTCTGGTGTGTTGTGGTGGTGGTCTGGTGTGTTGTGGTGGTCTGGTGTGTTGTGGTGGTCTGGAGTGTTGTGTTGGTCTGGTGTGTTGTGTCAAGGATCAGTGGTGGTCTGATGTGTTGTGAAGGTCTTGTGTGTTGTGTTGGTCTGGTGTGTTGTGGTGGTCTGGAGTGCTGTGTTGGTCTGGTGTGTTGAGGTGGTCTGGTGTGTTGTGTTGGTCTGGTGTGTTGAGGTGGTCTGGTGTGTTGTGGTGGTCTGGTGTGTTGTGTTGGTCTAGTGTGTTGTGGTGGTCTGGTGTGTTGTGTTGGTCTGGTGTGTTGTTGTGGTGGTCTGGAGTGTTGTGTTGGTCTGGTGTGTTGTGGTGGTCTGGTGTGTTGTGGTGGTCTGGTGTGTTGTGGTGGTCTGGTGTGTTGAGGTGGTCTGGTGTGTTATGGTGGTCTGGTGTGTTGATGTGGTCTGGTGTGTTGTGTCCGGGATCAGTGGTGGTCTGGTGTGTTGTGTTGGTCTGGTGTGTTGTGGTGGTCTGGTGTGTTGTGTTGGTCTGGTGTGTTGTGATGGTCTGGTGTGTTGTGGTGGTCTGGTGTGTTGTGGTGGTCTGGTGTGTTGTTGTGGTCTGGTGTGTTGTTGTTGTGGTCTGGTGTGTTGTGGTGGTCTGGTGTGTTGTGGTGGTCTGGTGTGTTGTGATGGTCTGGTGTGTTGTGGTGGTCTGGTGTGTTGTGGTGGTCTGGTGTGTTCTTGTGGTCTGGTGTGTTGTTGTTGTGGTCTGGTGTGTTGTGATGGTCTGGTGTGTTGTGGTGGTCTGGTGTGTTGTGGTGGTCTGGTGTGTTGTGGTGGTCTGGTGTGTTGTGGTGGTCTGGTGTGTTGTGTTGGTCTGGTGTGTTGTTGTGGTCTGGTGTGTTGTGGTGGTCTGGTGTGTTGTGGTGGTCTGGTGTGTTGTTGTGGTCTGGTGTGTTGTGGTGGTCTGGTGTGTTGTTGTGGTCTGGTGTGTTGTTGTTGTGGTCTGGTGTGTTGTGGTGGTCTGGTGTGTTGTGGTGGTCTGGTGTGTTGTTGTGGTCTGGTGTGTTGTGGTAGTCTGGTGTGTTGTGGTGGTCTGGTGTGTTGTGGTGGTCTGGTGTGTTGTGGTGGTCTGGTGTGTTGTTGTGGTCTGGTGTGTTGTGGTGGTCTGGTGTGTTATTGTTGTGGTCTGGTGTGTTGTGGTTGTCTGGTGTGGTGTGGTGGTCTGGTGTGTTGTGGTGGTCTGGTGTGTTGTGTTGGTCTGGTGTGTTGTGATGGTCTGGTGTGTTGTGGTGGTCTGGTGTGTTGTGGTGGTCTGGTGTGTTGTTGTGGTCTGGTGTGTTGTGGTGGTCTGGTGTGTTGTGGTGGTCTGGTGTGTTGTATTGGTCTGGTGTGTTGTTGTGGTCTGGTGTGTTGTGGTGGTCTGGTGTGTTGTTGTGGTCTGGTGTGTTGTGGTGGTCTGGTGTGTTGTGGTGGTCTGGTGTGTTGTTGTGGTCTGGTGTGTTGTGGTGGTCTGGTGTGTTGTGGTGGTCTGGTGTGTTGTTGTGGTGGTCTGGTGTGTTGTTGTGGTCTGGTGTGTTGTGGTGGTCTGGTGTGTTGTTGTGGTCTGGTGTGTTGTGATGGTCTGGTGTGTTGTGGTGGTCTGGTGTGTTGTGGTGGTCTGGTGTGTTGTGGTGGTCTGGTGTGTTGTGGTGGTGGTCTGGTGTGTTGTTGTGGTCTGGTGTGTTGTGGCGGTCTGGTGTGTTGTGGTGGTCTGGTGTGTTGTGGTGGTCTGGTGTGTTGTGGTGTTCTGGTGTGTTGTTGTTGTGGCCTGGTGTGTTGTGGTGGTCTGGTGTGTTGTTGTTGTGGTCTGGTGTGTTGTGGTGGTCTGGTGTGTTGTGGTGGTCTGGTGTGTTGTGGTGGTCTGGTGTGTTGTGGTGGTCTGGTGTGTTGTGGTGGTCTGGTGTGGTGTGTCTGGGATCAGTGTTGCTTAAATTCTTTCTCTACTCGATAATTTTATTTGAAGTTCACTGGTGTGCGAAATCAAACTGCCATCAATTTAAACTAAACAAAAATTATGTGAATTAGTTGGTATAACACTCTATGTTCAATATTAATTGATGCGTCATAAATCAAATTAATCAAATATATTATTTTCAGAACCGAAACTTCATCCTTAAAATACGGGGAATATTAGTCATATATGAATGCAGCCCGTCATCCAAACAAAGACCCTAGAGTGATTCCATCCACCCGGCAAACCCCAATGTTTCTAAATGAAAAAGGGTTTACACATGACTCACAACTGATTTCGTTAGAGCATTTCCGGAACAAATGCTTCACTGACGAGTTTTATTCGAACCACATCGCTATAAATGCTTCACCCACGTACTACAAGTACAAATAATCGCCAACAGAACCTAAACACCTAACGTAACCTATGCCTATATACATGCACAATATGCTAATATATTATAATATTAATTTATATCTGGGAATATTTCCGTTTTGAATGAACAGCATGTTAAAATTTGTGAATGCGTCTGTGGGATCGACCGCTGGATAGAATGAACTTGAGTCGAGGACGTGTTGGGGAATGAAGCTTCGATTCCATAATGAATTAACAAAGAATCATTTTCAGACTCCAGACTTTAGCCACAGGTAATATTTATACTCTTAATTCCACAAGGCCTGGCCAGACCCATGCATTATGGAGTCAAGTCCTCCGCCTCGTCAGTGATCGCCATGGAGAAAGACATATATAGAGATGGAATATTCACCATTACAGTGTGTATCCACCTGCTAGGTGCTTCATTATTCAGTGTTATACCTTGTCTTGCAGGCCGGGCGTCTAGGGTGCGTCACCAGGAGGAGCTCCACCACCGGCCTCTCCCTCACTCCAACACCCTCCACGACTCCAGGAGATTCATGGTAGCCTTCTCCCACCCGGCCGCCAGCGACGCCGCCAACGCCTCCTCATTATCACGGTACCATCCACATCGGTCGAAAGGCTTGTATATGTTGAGTAAATCCAGGGGTTTCCTGGACGGCGATCAGCAGTTCCAGCAGCTGCAGCCTCAGAGAACCTGGACGGCTGGGCCTCGGCTGGACTACGATGACACCACCACCAGGGACCCAGCCATCCCTGACAATCCTGAGGGACTCAAGAATCCTTCCCTCCTGGTGGGGCCCTGGGAGGAGGAGCCAACCATCAGAGTTACTGACGCCGTTTTCAGGTTAGTTTTAGCCAAATAAGTGAAGGTTTTGATTTAATTTAATTTAATTGAGTTTTAGATTGTGTTAATTGTCTTTTGATTTAGTGCAACGATGAGACCCACAAAGTCGGTATCACCCGGAAAGGTGAATAATTCAGGTGATTTTTGAGGTTGCAGCCTCTGCCTTTATATATGAACACCATAATTGTTTGCATTATCTTGATGGTGAAAATAAACTACATTTATTGAAGATCTTCTTCGTCAACTGACCTTCTCAAGGGCACAACCCCACAACAGGTGATTAACCTCCAAGTATCTATTTACTGCTAGGTGAACAGGTGCATGAGGTGAATCTAAAATATAATGTTTAAAAAGTGGCATCAAATCCTGATTGTAGGTGTAGAATAAAGTCTTTGTATTCTTGAAACTAACCTCAGAACTGGTCAAGAACCATACATTAGCGAGCTACCACAGACCAGATGAACAAGACCACACTAGTGAGCCACCACAGACCTCATCAACAAGACCACACTGGTGAGCCATCACAGACCTCATCAACAAGACCACACTGGTGAGCCACCACAGACCTCATCAACAAGACCACACTGGTGAGCCACCACAGACCTCATCAACAAGACCACACTAGTGAGCCACCACAGACCAGATGAACAAGACCACACTGGTGAGCCACCACAGACCTCATCAACAGGACCACACTGGTGAGCCACCACAGACCTCATCAACAGGACCACACTTGTGAGCCACCACAGACCTCATCAACACGACCACACTGGTGAGCCACCACAGACCTCCTCAACAAGACCACACTGATGAGCCACCACAGACCTCATCAACAAGACCACACTGGTGAGCCACCACAGACCTCATCAACAAGACCACACTGGTGAGCCACCACAGACCTCATCAACAAGACCACACTGGTGAACCACCACAGACCTCATCAACACGACCACACTGGTGAGCCACCACAGACCTCCTCAACAAGACCACACTGATGAGCCACCACAGACCTCATCAACAAGACCACACTAGTGAGCCACCACAGACCAGATGAACAAGACCACACTAGTGAGCCACCACAGACCTCATCAACATGACCACACTGGTGAGCCACCACAGACCTCATCAACAAGACCACACTAGTGAGCCACCACAGACCAGATGAACAAGACCACACTGGTGAGCCACCACAGACCAGATGAACAAGACCACACTTGTGAGCCACCACAGACCTCATCAACACGACCACACTGGTGAGCCACCACAGACCTCCTCAACAAGACCACACTGGTGAGCCACCACAGACCAGATCAACAAGACCACACTGGTGAGCCACCACAGACCTCTTCAACACGACCACACTGATGAGCCACCACAGACCTCATCAACACGACCACACTGATGAGCCATCACAGACCTCATCAACACGACCACACTGGTGAGCCACCACAGACCTCATCAACACGACCACACTGGTGAGCCACCACAGACCTCATCAACACGACCACTCTGATGAGCCATCACAGACCTCATCAACACGACCACACTGATGAGCCATCACAGACCTCATCAACACGACCACACTGGTGAGCCACCACAGACCTCATCAACACGACCATACTGATGAGCCACCACAGACCTCTTCAACACGACCACACTGATGAGCCACCACAGACCAGATAATAAGTACAGCTCACAAACCATTATGTATCAATTACCATCGTGTCTCTGAATTACAGGACTTTTTCTTAGATTTTCTAACGATTTAAATTTATACACAAACTTGTCTCAGACGCAGTTGTCTACTTTTTTGTTCTACCACACATGTGGCCACACATTTACAATGCTAACCAGAATATATATATTTTCTTCTGTCCTCCATGGACAGGGTTAGAGATGTGTTAAACATATAGTTAAGAAGTTTATTGAAAAGTTAACCACAGAAGGTGATTCGGTGCTTTTAATATGCTAAGCTAACCTACATACGAATATACATAGATACACAGATTTACGTATGCCCAACATAAAATGTTCGATGTGTCTTTTACATAGTGTCATTATTAATTTTTCTACATAGTGTCATTATTAATTACATTTCACCATTTACAATGGTAAAATGTAATTCTGATCAGCTTCCACATATACTTTATACACATATATATACATGCACACACATATACGTACATATATATACATACATATATATATACACACATGCATTCACATACATTTGTCTCTTTTACTGAGACAGGGTGAGATAGCTGATAGAGAAACTAGTGTGCAATTAAGTACTTAATTACTGAAGGTGAATGAAGGTGCATTTACAAGCTCAGGTTATATAGCTACATCACATACATACATTGGATAATTGATACACTGCTCGGTCAATCTAGGGTACAAGTCCTATATATCATCGAGTGTTCCAGTACTCATGTAGTAGTTTCAGAGTTCAGCATACCTTAGCCCAGGAGGGCGAAAGTCAGTCAATATGGGACATTCTACAATACAATGTTCAGGGGAGTGCTACTGTTGTCATGGGCGAGGCAGTTTGACAGGAAGTAGAGGATCATTTAAAATAGCATATCGAGCAGTTAGTGTTCTTAAGAGGTAGGTCCTGCAACTTATTCCGTTACTCTTATCCAGTATGAAAATGATTTGTCAAACGTTTAACGCTTATATATGTTGATATATGATGCTAAAAACTGAGTCTTGCTATCAGCCACCATTTGAGCATGATTAGTTGTGTTTTTGCGCCATAAACAATGTTTAATTTTGCCTAATATTACAAAGTTACTACTGACATTAACGTCTGAAATCGGACGCGATATCTGAGTTTACACTTTAGCTTAATCGCGGGATGTTGTATTAGGGATGCAGGAGCATCCCTAATACAACAAAATATAACATCACAATGTGAAGCATGAAACACGGATTTAAATTGACTAAATTTATATTTAGTAAAAGGCAACTACAAGTTTGAAATACAAATTATAGATCTATGGAACAGGTTGCTGGTAACGTGATTACTGAGGGAGGTCTGGGTATTTAACTCAAGGGTTATTTGAACAATCCCACTCTGTATTTCCACGAAGGAGCCAGTGTACTACCACACTGCAGGAGCCAGTGTACTACCACACTGCAGGAGCCAGCATACTACCACACTGCAGGAGCCAGCGTACTCCCACACTGCAGGAGCCAGCGTACTACCACACTGCAGGAGCCAATGTACTCCCACACTGCAGGAGCCAGCGTACTACCACACTGCAGGAGCCAGTGTACTCCCACACTGCAGGAGCCAGCGAACTACCACACTGCAGGAGCCAGTGTACTCCCACACTGCAGGAGCCAGTGTACTACCACACTGCAGGAGCCAGCGTACTACCACACTGCAGGAGCCAGTGTACTCTCACACTGCAGGAGCAGTGTACTGCCACACTGTAGGAGCCAGTGTACTACCACACTGCAGGAGAAAGTATACTACCACACTGCAGGAGCCAGTGTACCACCACACTGCAGGAGCCAGTGTACCACCACACTGCAGGAGACAGTATACTACCACACTGCAGGAGACAGTGTACTACCCAACTGCAGGAGACAGTATAATACCACACTGCAGGAGACAGTATAATACCTGACTGCAGGAGCCAGTGTACTACCAAACTGCTGGAGGCAGTGTACTCCCACACTGCAGGAGCCAGTGTACTACCACACTGCTGGAGGCAGTGTACTCCCACACTGCAGGAGCCAGTGTACTACCACACTGCTTGAGTCAGTGGTCTATCACACTGCAGGAGCCAGTGTACTACCACACTGCAGGAGCCAGTGGTCTACCACACTGCGGGAGCCAGTGGTCTACCACACTGCAGGAACCAGTGTACTACCACACTGCAGGAGCCAGTGGTCTACCACACTGCAGGAGCCAGTGGTCTACCACACTGCAGGAACCAGTGTACTACCACACTGCAGGAGCCAGTGTACTCCCACACTGCAGGAGCCAGTGATCTACCACACTGCAGGAACCAGTGAACTACCACACTGCAGGAGCCAGTGGTCTACCACACTACAGGAGCCAGTGTACTCCCACACTGCAGGAGCCAGTGTACTGCCACACTACAGGAGCCAGTGTACTACCACACTGCAGGAGCCAGTGTACTCCCACACTGCAGAAGCCAGTGTACTACCACACTGCAGGAGCAGTGTACTCCCTCAATACAGGAGCCAGTGTACTACCACACTGCAGGAGCCAGTGTACTCCCTCACGACAGGAGCCAGTGTACTACCACACTGCAGGAGCCAGTGTACTACCACACTACAGGAGCCAGTGTACTAGCACACTGCAGGAGCAGTGTACTCCCTCACTACACGGGCCAGTACACAAGAACACAGCAGGAGCCAGAACACAACCACACTTCAAGAGTCCTGGCACGCCCACTCAACAGGAGCCAGTACACTTCCTCACTGCAAGAGCATGTACACTCTCCACTGCTTGAGCCGGTACAATCCCGCCCTGCGAGGGCCAGTACACAACAACACTGGAAGAACCAGTTCACTCCTGACTGCTACAGTCAGTATACTTCCACACTAGAGCGCCAGTATACTCTCACAACAATAGTCAATATGCTCTACCACTTCCAGAGTGTAGGGGAGTCCACACTCCCGCAGTGTGAACCCCAGTACGCTCCAAGAGTGCAGGAGCCAGTGCGCTCCTTCACTCCAGGAGACAGTACGCACCCACACGTCAGGAGCTAGTTCACTCCCACACTAATGGACAGGAATCTCCAAAGTACAAACTCTGTTGAGTACAGTTAGCTAAAAAAACATTTTGGAGTCAAACACACCCTCAGTCACTAATGCGCACACACACACACACCAACACATTCCAACAAGAGCCAACACACACACACACACACACCAACACATTCCAACAAGAGCCAACACACACACACACACACACCAACACATTCCAACAAGAGCCAACACACACACACACACACACACCA